TACTCCTGAATGCCCTAGTGCTTCTCTGTGCTGTCTGTTGACTGCGTCTCCCTGTTGCCTAGCCACTGAGGCTTGGGCGTGTGGCTTTATGTTTGTACTCATGGCTTGGCATGCAGCATGTGCGCATGGAGTGCTGGTTGGAAACAGAGGTACTACTTGTCTGTGAGTGGGACACCTGTGAATATGTCACAGTTGGGGACTTTCTTTTCCTTTTGCTGCGAACAGGTGGCGATTTGCCGAGTTTCAATACTTACAGCCAGGGCCACCCCGGCAGTTACACACGGTAGTGGTATACCTGCCAGATGTGTGGACCATCATGCCCACTTTGGAGGAGTGGGAGGCACTGTGCCAGCAGAAAGCCACAGAGGCAGCTCCCCAACCCCAGGAGGCATTGGGGGTAAGGCTGGGCCTTAGGAAAACGCAGGGAAGCCGGGCATGGTGGCACAAGCCTCTAACTCTAGCATTGGGGAGGTGGAGGCAGGAAGATCCAGAGTTCAAAGTTGTTCTCATCTTCATAATGAATTTGAGGTTAGCCTAGGCTACATGAGCCCCTATCTCAAAAGTAGGTGCCCTGATCTCAGGGCCCAGAAGGTCACACCTGAGCTATTGTCATAGGAGGCGGAGCCTACTGAACAGACCCCTGACGAATCAGAGCAAGCAGACGCGCCTAAACAGAACACGGAGACGTCAGAGGCCACCACGCAGCAAGATGTGGACACTGATCTCCCAGAGGCCCCTCCGCCTCCTCTAGAACCCGCTGTGATGGCCCGTCCTGGCTGTGTCAGCCTGTCTCTGCATGGCATTGTGGAGGACCGGAGACCAAAAGAAAGGATCTCTTTTGAGGCAAGTGCCGGAGAGAGGCCGTGAGTGTGATGAGGGGTACCGGCATCCTCGTCCACCTCCCTGACGCCGTGGTCCCGGCACCTCTTCCGACAGGTGGTGGTGCTGGCCGAGCTGTTTCTAGAGATGCTGCAGAGGGATTTTGGCTATAGGATTTATAAGATGCTGCTGAGCCTTCCAGAAAAAGTTGTATCTCCCCCTGAACCTGAGAAGGAGGAGGCAGCCAAGGAGGATGTGGTCAAAGAGGAGGAGGCTGTCAAGGAGGAGGCGGTGAAGGGGTCCAAGGATGAGGTACAGAACGAGGGCACGGCTGCCGAGTCAGACAACCCGCTGGTGAGTACCGTTCTCAGCCCTGGGTGGCCTCAGGCCTACACGTTACAGCGTTTAGTACGGGTCGAGTCCCTCACGTGTGTGTCAGGCACTGTTCTAGGTACTCTGCATGTCCAGTTGCATGGCTCCGTTATGTCACCTGTTCCTTGAAAGTTGGGGATGGGCTGAGGCCCAGGAAGATGAAACCCTGCATGTGGCCACACAGCTAGGAAGTGGCCCAGAAGAGGGAGGGAAGTGTGGCTAAGCCATGCAGAATAGAGGGGCCTCTGCCAGTCAGACTGCTTAGGAGTTGGGACTGCCTGATGGTTAGGTGGACAAACTGGTCTTTAACATTTCTGGAATGGAGCTTGGCTTCTTGTCCAAATATTGTCATGTACACATACTTGCTTCTAGAGCTAAGACTGATCCCTGAGAAATACCCCAGGGGTCTAGATGTGCCCCTGTGATCTGAATCCTGGTATGGCTAAATACCTATGAGCACATGGTGGATCACATAGTACCCAGCACACAGCTGATACCTGAGTGTTAGCAACTGTTACTGTTAGCGTCCCAAGAGTCCTGCTCATCCTCACCACCTTGGTCTGCTTCTCTAGAAGGAGGATGGGCTTCTGTCCAAACGGCCCTCTTCAGGGGGAGAAGAGGAGGAGAAGGCCCGGGGCGAGGCAGCTGAGGATCTCTGTGAGATGGCCTTGGACCCAGACCTGCTGCTTCTGAGGGATGATGGAGAGGAGGAGTTCGGTGTGTCTGGGGTAGTGGCTCTCAGGCTGGCTGTGGCAGTTTCCTCTTAGGCAGTGCTTCTCAACCTTCCTAATGCTGTGACCCTTAATACAGTTCCTCATGTTGTGGGGACCCCAACCATAAAGTTATTTTCATTGCTACTTCATAACTCATTTTGCTACTGTTATGAATCATAAATATCTGTTTTCTGCTGGATGGTGGTGGTGCACGCCTTTAATCCCAGCACTCGGGAGGCAGAGGCAGGCGGATCTCTGTGAGTTTGAGGCCAACCTGGTCTAACAGAGTGAGTTTCAGGAAGGGCACAAAGTTACACAGAAACTCTGTCTCGAAAAACCAACCCCCCCCCCCAAAAAAAATCTGTTTTCCAATAGTCTTAGGCGATCTCTGTGAAAGGGTCATATGACCCCCTAAGGGGTTGCGACCCACAGGTTGAGAACCACTGCTCTTAGGCGTGGGGACCATCATCCTTGCTACATGTTAAGCTTGGGATTTCTGTAGCAGGAGCAAAGCTGGAGGAAACGGAGGTTCGCTCTGTCGCCTCAAACCAGTCAGAGATGGAGTATTCCTCTCTTCAGGACATGGTGAGACCCTGTCTCTTTCTGTGCCTTGGTGGTGGGAAATGTGGCCCTTCCTGGGTGAGCGATGCCTACCAGTGACGTCCTCCCTAGAACAGAGACCGACTGGTTCTTGACTCATGGAGACTTCTTTCCCCCTGTGAGGGTGGATGGGAGAGGGAGCTGCTTAGGGAACACACACCGCACTCTGGGACTGTGCCCGCAGAAGCCTGAGGCCCCAGCCTGAGCCTGCAGTGGGAGGTCTGCCCGCTGCTGTGAGCCCCGCCCTGGCTGTGAGAGGCTGGGCATGAGAGCCGACCGTCCGGAAAGCCTGTGTCTCTGCTCTCTCTCCCTGCAGCCAAAGGAGCTGGACCCCTCAGCCGTCCTCCCCCTGGACTGCCTTCTGGCTTTCGTGTTTTTTGATGCCAACTGGTGTGGCTACTTGCACCGGCGAGACTTGGAGCGGGTCCTCCTCACACTGGGGATCCGGCTCAGTGCTGAGCAGGTAGTTCGTTCTGTCCCACCTGTCCTTCTGGAGGGCCTTGCCAGAGCTCTTGCTGGCGTCTGGTCCCCCCCCCCCCCAGGCAAGTGTGTGGCCAGTAGGTGCCCTGCTGTGTTTTCCGTAGGCCAAGCAGCTGGTTAGCAGAGTAGTGACGCAGAACATCTGCCAGTACCGGAGTCTTCAGTACAGCCGTGCCGAGGTGCTGGATGACGGGCCTCCCGAAGAGGGGCTCTTCGGTATGCCTTGAGCTCCGTGGCCTGTGGGGCGTGCGGCCTCCATGGTGGCTTACTCTCTCCTCCTAAGGTCATGTGTGTCTGTCTCCTCTAGGAAACCTGGATCTGCTGCCCCCTTCAGGGAAGAGCACAAAGCCAGGCGCCGCCCCCACAGAGCACAAAGGCCTGGTGCCGCACAATGGCAGCCTCATCAACGTGGGGAGTCTGTTACAGCGTGCCGAGCAGCAAGACAGTGGCCGCCTATACCTGGAGAACAAGATTCACACACTGGAACTGAAGCTTGGTGAGTGCAGATGTCGCAGGGACTTAGGGGACACCACTCCTTAGGCCTCCGGCTCTTGGCTCAGTGGGCTGAGCAGAGCCTTTCTGCCATGTCCCCTGCTTTCAGAGGAGAGCCATAACCGTTTCTCAGCCACCGAAGTGACAAATAAGACGTTGGCGGCAGAGATGCAGGAGCTGCGGGCCCGGCTGGTGGAGGCGGAGGAGACAGCCCGGACAGCGGAACGCCAGAAGAACCAGCTGCAGCGGCAGCTGCAGGACTTCCGCAGGCGCCTGACCCCGCTGCACCTGGAGATGCAGCGGATGGTTGAAAAGGTAGGATGGCTGGCGGGTGGCCGCCTCAAGAGCTTGAGAGCAGAGCTAGTGTCTGTGCAGAGAGACCTGGCAGAGAGGCAGCCCTTCCTTGCCGTACTGGTTCTCCGTCCACCGGGATCTTAGGAGACTCAGCTACTCCCCGTGCTCTGTACTCTAGTGGTAGGACATGGGGAGAAGCCGCATCCTTACCGTTGTTACATGTGCTCACACAGGCTGACAGCTGGGTAGAGAAAGAGGAGCCAGCACCCAGCAACTGAGTGGCTATCTAGTGAGGTCTGCGATGGAGCCTGATGACATTCGAGCCTCTTGGGTCCCAGAAGGCAGCTGGAGCAGGGCCTGGGAGCCACAGCAGAGGTGGCTGAGTTCCGTGCCTCTGCAGGGGTGATCAAGCTATCAGAATGGGGTTTGTGCTATGTGGATGGATGTGTACGGAACCTCAGTTCCAGCTACAACTAAATACAACATCTTTTGCACCCCTAGAATGTCATTTTGCCCTCAACCTTGGAGTTTCTCCCAGGGCCCTTGTAGTCTTGTGCTGTCTCCTGTCCTCGTCCACTTTAGAGCAAGACGGGAGGAAAAGGCTTTTCCAGCCTGGAATAGGTCTGATGCCAATACATGGAAGGAACGGTGTAGAGCCTGGCACAGCCCAGAATGTCCTTCCTCTAGACGCCACGAGTCCTGTAGGCTCCAGTCTCCGTTAGGTGATGGAGCCCATGCTAGGAAGCACTTGGTGTTGGGTCAAGGTTGCCAAGAGGGCACTGTGTTCCAGCCACCCCCCAACTTGCCAGAAGAACCAGCACTTCTTTCTCTAGCTCTTGTGTTCAGAATGTGGTATTGGCTCTGGCCCAGCCCTCTTCCCTCTCCCATAATTCTTGCCTCTTTCCATAATCCGTGGTTTCAGTTTGACTTTGTATATAAAGTTGTTTGTTGTTTTTTTTTTTTTTTTTTTTTTTGGCTTTTTGTTTTTTAAATAAACCAAAGTCAAAAACAAACCAAGTGTGTCCTTTGTGGCTTTCCTTTTTCCAAGCTGCCTGTGCTCTCCCTGCTTGCCAATCCTCAGTTCTCTCCAGAAGGCTCCAGAAGGCTCTAGAAGGCAGGCAGGCAGGCAGTGAGCTGCCACAGGTTGTGATTGAATGAAGGCCTTCTGCCAAGTTGGCAGGGCCCTGGCAAAGCTGTGGCAACTCCCCCATGGTATCAGTTACAGCACACTAATGTTTTACTGGAAACTTTACTTGAAAATAGAATTCCAACAACACAGGTGAGACATAAGCCTTGCCTTGAGGCCTGTGGGTCAACGTGTGACGTTCTGTATAGTAGACAGCTAGAAACAAAGTCCGTGTACCAGGGGAAGCTAAACACCCAGGGCTTATCCCTAGCTGGACCTGCAGGGGATCAGCTTGGATTATGTTGGCATGAGGGGCCCACCGCAGCAGAGGGACCAGAGTTCTGCTCCCCCGGGCCCCGCTTCTCACCCAATAGGCTGAAGCGTCACGAGGGGAGGGGATGGTGGGTTCCCTAGAGTAGGTCCTCTGGAGGTAGTCAGAGCTAAGGCCCCCACCTTACACAGGAAGCTCCTGCTGGCCAGACAGTATAGCACATTCTGGACGGTTCTGGAAGTAAACAGGCCCCTGGGTTTTTTCTACATTGCTTATCAGCATTGGGCAGGGGGTAACAGCAGCCTGCGAGGCTCCCAATGTCAGGCTCAAGGAAATGGAGACTTTTAAGTCGGAGGACTGGCAAGGTTGAATAGTGGCCACCTGTCTCCAGCTGGCAGACCATTGGGAGGTCCATGAATCCATGCCTGCTAAGAGCAAAGACTATAGAGATGTCATCTAGGTCCCAAGGAGTCTGAGGACTCCTGAGGGACTGGGGCTCAGTCATCAGCCACGATGGAGAGGGCTCGGAGCTCACTTAGTTTGGCCTCGTTTTCCCGCTCCCGCTGCTCGTCTGAGTGGCCTGGCTGGTCAAGCTGCTGGGTGAGGTCTCCGAAGATCTTATGCATTTCTGAGTAGTACACAACCTGGGGAAGAGGCAAGAGTTGTGGGTAGGAACTGGACTTCGGGTCTACACAGCCACCCACTCAGTGAAGCAGCCAGGAGTACAAGCAGGGCCGGGGTCGGGGTCTATCGGTTGCTTCTTGGTGAAGCGGGTCCGGGGCTCACTCCTGCTCCATCACCACCTCCCAGATCTCGCTCTATCACCCGCCAGCCTAGGGACGGGTGAGCCACAGCTGAGGCTTTTGGGAACGTCTACTGCAGAGAAAGGTTTATAGTAGGGAGTCAGTAGTTCCTTGGGGGATGGGGTTGTGAAGGAAGCACGGCCCTTTAAACCCCTGGCTCCCCAAAACAGCTAGTATGGAAAGGGAACTATGCATCTGAAGGTGGCCAAGGGCAGGCCTGGGTTTACTGCCTTTCCTAAGCTAGGAGGAGCCAAGGTTTTGTTTTGTTTTGTTTTGTTTTTTTGGTCATGGAAAAAGAACATGGCAGACACTGGCTCCCCAAGCCTTGAGAGCTGGTTCTAGAAGTCAAGTCAAGGGAGGTGACAGCTTCCCAGACTCCACCTCTCCCTGCTTTTGCTCCTGATCGCTTCCAGGTTAAGCTGCCTAGATGAAAAGCACCAGTGAGGGGGCGTGAATGACAGGTCCAAGAGTGGAGGAGTTTCTCCAGGTGGTAGATGATGACTTCTACAGAGGTCAGAGGCCATTTCTGCCTCAGTTTCCACTCCCTGACATGACAGTGCACACTCATCAAAGTGTTCCACGTTCTCTTCTTCAAGCACCTCAACTCTGAGACTGTCTCCAGGATCCTCCTCCATTTGAGAAACTGGAGGAGGGTGACCAGAGGGTGGGAGTGGCGTCCTAGGAAGTCTCCCCAGAAACCGCAGCTGGGGGCCCCCCATTCCTTGCCTGGGCCACGCTGCCTGGTGAGTCACAGGGATGCTCACTTCTCTAATGACTAATAGCAGCAGCAGCAGCGGCAGCAGCAGCCGGGTGAGGAGGATGCTGGCACAGGGGAGGCGGTAAACAGCCCTGGCTCCCCTGCTGCTTGGTTACAGGGCACCCCATTGCCTGGGCACCCTGCAGTTCCTTAAGGATCTGGGTGGGGATGGTGGACACAGGTCCCTGGAAGCAGAGGTAGGTGCCATGGCAAAAGCGGGCAGGCCAACATCTCCCCTCTAAATCCACTCTTCGTCCAAACCAAGGGTGCGGCAGCTGAAGGCGGCCCTCGTCTGCGGGGACAACTGTCCCTTTGTTGTCTGTCTCAGTCTCACTCCCTAGAGAGCCCCAGACTGAAAACATGGGTCACTAGCAAGTCTAGGCTCCAGGACAAATCTTGCCTGGGCTTCTTGATGTCAAGCATTCTAGCCCATGGCTTTGGGGGTCACCCCAAAGTGAAGGATGGGAAGAGGGAATCAGGCTTTACTCAGGGCATTTGTGACGAAGGGAGCAACCAGGAAATGATGATGTCCACTGGAGGGCACCAGAGGCCCAGGCAAGACAGGCAGGGCAGGCAGAGCTTGGGGACGGACCAGTCAGTGTTGGGGTCCTGAGCCGGCACCTGTGACCATGTGGAGAAGAGCTGCTCCTGGCTGGTCCGGCTGCCTCTCCCACCATGCCAGTGGGAGAACAATCCTAGCTAAAGTCTGCCTGAAGATGAGTGGGGAGGGGAGGGTGGGCGGGAGCGGCACGGCATCCCGTTTGGACCCTCCACCCCAGTGGCAGGGGACTGTGTCCTACTCTCTGGCGGCCACTCCCATATCAGCCTGCACTCCACTGTCTTTCCACTAGGGGGAGCATTATACCTAGTGGCCAGAATCTCAGAGCTGGTCCAGGACTCCTCCCTAGGAAGCTCAGTTAGGGTTCCTGTGGTCTCCTGCTAATGGAAGTCTCCTGTTGGGTCCTCAGGCATCCACTCTACTGTCCTCTCAGCCACTTCTGCAAAACGCCTGCCCAGTTAAGGGGGGGGGGCTAAAGATGCAGCCTGGGGTCTTGCTGCTTGAATATAGGAAGAACTCAAGGGGTGGAGAGAGGGTTAAACAAGAAGGAACCTTGTCCATCATAGGGCTGGGGTTAAGTGGATTTGGCAATGGAGGATGCCCAAGAGAAACTGCAGCACAGTATCAGTGCTGGCCACCAGGGCTGACATGAGTTCTCATAGAGCCTGGGGCGGGGTGGGGTGGGGTGGTGGGGGTGGGGTAGGGTGGGTGTGCTGCCGTCTGTGCCGAGTGCAGCTACGTCTAATGGGAGCTGGGCTCCTACAGAGATCATTTCCCACGGGAGGAAGGGCCTCGCCTCACCTGGGCCCGGACCAGGGACTCGAAGCTGGGCTGGAAGTAGTCAAGTCGGCTGCCATAGAACCGCGGCATCTCATCCAGGAGCTGTTTGTTCTTGGCTTCAAAGTCTTCCCGGACCGGCCGCAGCTCCTCTCGGGCCTGGAGAACAAGACCCCGGTGTCACTGACGAGGGCGGGGTGTGGGGACAGCGAGGCCCTCGTGGCAATGGTGGTTCTGCTGCCCCCTCCTGCCTCTCCCGCGGTACCTGGTGGAGCTTGGCCAGCACCGGGCCGGTCTTCTCCTTGTCCTCGTACTTCTCCACCTTGGCCTGCAGTCTCCGGTAGTCTTGCAAGGCCTGCTCCCGCCGCTTCACTGCCATGCTGAGGCTCGGGAACACACTGCCAAACCTGCGGGGCACAGCCTGGCTGGAAACGGGCTTGTCGTGTGGAGGGGTATCTGACGGTCACCGCTTACTCAGAAACACGTACGACACACCTACTATGTGCCAGAGCCACACGGCTCTGGAACTTTGGGACTTGTGCTGGTAGGGTGCTATGGGGAGCAGCAGACAGTACTGACCCCAACGGTGGGCTGTGAAGGAGAGTGCTCTGTCCTGTGGCTGTCTCCCTACACACCCTGAGCTCCATCACAGAGAACGGCAGCGCTGGGATACTCCTGAATATACTAAAAAAACAAGCCAAAACCAACAAGAAGGGAAGGCCAAGGCCAATCAGGTAGTAAGGGTCCGGAAAGGACCCTGAGAGTCCAAGTTTACCAGTACCTATCCTTCCACACCACAGTGCCACTGACAGGTGAGAAGAGAGAATTAGAGTCTGGCTAAGGGTCCCTTCACACTGTGGAGAGACACAAACGCTGTGGTTTTCCCGCTAAAAGGACACAGGGAAAAACCACACTTGAGGAGTCGGCCCTCGCCCCTCCTACCCGACATGACTAAAAAGGAGCATGGCACTCAGAGGACTGGCCGTTCAGAGAGGGCTGCATTTGAAATGTTTTGGCATTTGAGTGGAACTATCATCACCAGGGCCACCTTTTCCCCATGGAGGGCCACTGCATCTTAGACGGTCCCAGGGAGAGCCACTTTTCGGGGGCCCAGGCAAGAGAAAACATTCCTCTTGACACAGACGAGGGATGGAGGCGAGGCAGCCCTGTAAGCAGCTCTCCGGGAAGTGAGAAAACCGGGCATGCAAAGCCTTGAGGGGCTGTAGCTGACCTTGGTGCTGCACAAGGCTTTCCTACCACACCATGAGGTGCCCACCGTGCCAGCCAGGAGCTCTGACAGCCTCTGGCCACTGTCGGTGACCTGGGACCAGAAGAGTCAGCTAATCCAGGAAGAGCCAGAGAGGGCGACAGAGCAGGCAAACAGAAGTCAGGGGGATGGGATCTTCTCACTGGGACCCCAGTCAGTGGCCGAGGCCAGCCTTTCACATACATCAGCGCTGAGGGAACATCCGAATGCTTAGGGTAGGTTCTGACACCACAGGAGGCACCATTCCCAACCTCTCCTCCTTATAGGATATGATATGAATACGGTACTTAAAAGCTTCCAAGAAGTCAGGGACACACACATGAGAGTAAAGCATACTCCTGCTAGAGAACAGAGAATGTCAACTCAGCCAGGCATCAGGGTACCCAAACAAGCAACAGACTCAGGGAGCAGATCCCGGTGGAACAAAGGGCTTCGTCTCAAAGGTCACTAAAAGCAGTTCCTGTAACTTAACCTTCTAAGCAGGCGCATCCCTTTCCTGAAAATGCTCCTGGTCCAAGGCTATCAGAATTTCTCTGAAGCCTCAGGCACAGGCCTTTCTGTAGAGTCATCAAACCAAGACTTGACGAGGTGCTTTAACAGGGGAGATGTGAACCCATGTGGCTCTGTGCAAACTGGATGTGGGGAGCAGGCACCACCAGGTCACACGGGGAGGAGGTGGTCACATTGCCTATGTCAAGGCAGCTGTGCCTGGCCATTCAGCTGCTCTGGAGCCTCGCTCCCTTCCTGGGCAGCTGAGCAGTGCGTGGCTCAAGGGAACAGGTGCCTCGGGCCTGAGAACCTACCACCCTGCCCCTCCTTCTATCCCAAGAGAACAAAGGGTCCCAGCAGCTTGATCCTGTTGTCAGAAGCAGCCTGCTGCTTGGGTGGCCCCAGGGCCAAGAATGAGACAGGCAAGAGGCAGAGGTGGAGTACTTTCCTGCCCAGGCCACACAATCTCTTTGCTCATTGGAACTCACCTCTGGGGACCGGGGAGACAGGGGCAGGGGTGGGGTGGGCATCACAAGAAACAAAGCAATGCGTGAAGGGCATCCTGCAGGTGTGAAATGACCTTGGTGCAATGCTAGTCTCAGCACAACTTGGCCATTAGCCCGTGGTCCCAGTCCCTTTCCATGGTTGTCATCTTCAAGACCAAGTCACACCTACCAGGAATAGTAATACTAACACTTCAAGACCTGGCCAGCTCATGAAGGACCCACAATGCAAGGTCAAAATGTAGAGCTGGGAGACCACGGCCACCACAGACCAGGGGTTACAGCTTTGGGGCATGTGGTCTCTACACACCATTCATTACTTAAAAGCATGGATTCCTGCTTAGGAGCCTGCAGGAATCAAGACCATCCCCGTCTGCAGCTGCAACTGGTCCTGCTGCCCTGCTGGAGGCTCCTGACTCTTGGGGGACTCACATGTCTTCCTCAGATCTGTTTCCTCCTGTACTGTACTCCAGATCTGTACTCATCAATCAAACCAAGATCTGATCGAGACCTGAGCTTGGTTAGTAGCTTAGAGTCACTCACAAAGGGAAATCTGGGTAGCTCTGGGCCTAGGACCAGGAGTCCCTGAGACAAGGGACAGGTATCATGCTCTTTTCAACTGAGGGGGCTACTAATGTCACTCATAGGAAGAGTGCCTATCCTAAGGTGATGGAGCGCAGAATTCCTGCTCACTCTCCCACCAAGCCTCCATTTCGTATTTTCTACTTTTCAGCCTTGGACAGATGTCGCCAGTTACCTGATAGCAGGATCCACTCCAGATGTGGACTAACTCAGGTGCTGGTGCAGAAGTGAGGACAGCTGCAGGCTGGTCCCCTGTGGTGGGACCTTTCCCAGATATGCTAATGGGACCTAATGGGGTTCCTGCTGACCTATCAACGATGCTGCATGGGCCCAGCTCTCCTCAAGGCACAAAGCTTCCATTTCTACTGGCCTGCTCCAAAGACACACGGTAGAGAAGCCAGATCCTCTGCTGGTCTCAGCTGCCCCCTGACAAATGAGTGGTAAGAGACAGGCTGTCTTCTGTTTCCTGGCCGGGCTCAAATCATACATCCTCAAGCACACTAACCCTGCTTCTAGGTACCGACTCTACCACACTGAGGGACTAGACAGACTTAGGCTATGGGAGTGGCTGGGACACTGTGCCTGCTCAATATGGCAGTACACACGCCTGGGCTCAGTCTCCCGAGTTCCCAGGCTGTAAGTACCTAAGACTGATGCACATTGATCTTCAAGGATGGGGGGTGGGCCTAGGTCTACACCAGGGCTTCGGGGAGCTCAACCTAGGAGGTACCCATTTCTTGCCTGGCATAGGGTTCAACACCAGGCTTGCTCCCCAGGGAGGTAAAGCGTGGGGTGAAGAGAGATTGGGGAGGGAAAGAGGCCGGCTGGGAGGTGGGTTGGGAGCAGCCGGCCTGGTGGGGAATGCCTGCCATCCTCATCTGTGCCCACACAGCCGGGATCTTCCACCCACCAGGAAAGGGAAATTGAAAGCATCCCCATCCGACATGTGAACAACCCAGGGACTGGGGGATTAGAGACCAAGCCCCCTTTGCGGGGGATGCTGGGGGCGACAGGGTGGCCATGATCTTCATTAGAGGACAGGAAAGCTGCAGTTTCCTGTTTCCGGTGCTGGGGTCCCTGGGAGCTTCTCTTCTGGCACAAGGCAGCAAACGGGGAGGAGGGAGCAGGCAGTGGTGGTTTATGTGGTCACGGGGGATTGTATTCTGGCTGTGGGCTGCACAAGCCAGCCAGGCCTGAGGCTCACACAGAGGTCAGCGGATCCATGGCGGAGATGGTGGCCGCCCCCTCTGCCACGCCCCCACCTTCCTGGCAGGTGGTGGGCTGCTAGCATGGTGGGAAGCAGCCGGGGTTTCTCTCTACTTGGCTGCAGAAGCCAGGGATCCGATTTCAATGCCGCCTCGTTGGTTGTGAAATCGAGAAGGTAGTCAGCCCCCTAGTTCTCTGAGCTGGCAGTCCTGCCAAACTCTGCCAACTCTGGGTGCCTGTGGCTGGGCCCCCTGCATCTCTGGCACAGCAGACTTCTCTGTGCACAGAGGCTCATCGTCTCTGAGATCCTTCCACCCAGCTCTGAACCTGTCTTGGAGAGCAGACCAAATGAACAGCTAGCTCCTTCTGCACTCAGGTCCCCATGCAGGTCCTGGGGTTTGGGGGTGAGCTCTGACCGTGAAGCAGGGGTTCGAGAGCCCAAGCTGATGAGGCTGGGGTGGTGGGGTGGTGGGCACGGGCCAGGCTTGGCCTCAGGGCAGCTGCAGGTGCTCTGTAGGCCCAGTGTCGGGAAGAAGCCTGACAAGGTTAGGAAGGCTCTTCCTGATGCCCCCCCCCCCCCCCCCCCCCCGAACAGGGGAGGACAACAGCACTCCCCAACACCCCAAGACTGCAGGATCAAAACCTGCTCTTCATCTCCCTCCAGCTTGATCCTGGCCTAATGATAATGAAGCAGAGGCTCACTGCCCAGCCCTGGCAAGGCAGCTGCCAGGGACCACCACAGAAGAGGTAATAAAGTGCAGCTGCTGGCGCGGAGCGGGAGCCTTTCTGGGTCAGAGCAGGCTGGGAGAGGCTGGGAGAGAGGAAGCACTCAGGAGCTTCAAGGCAAGGCTTGGGCCAGCCTCCTCCCCTGGGGACCCGCAGGACAAGCCTGTCTGATCCCTGACCAGGGCCTGCAGGACCAAAGACTGGACTCTCACAGAACTCCCTGCTCTCGCAGGTCACGAGTGAGGGGACCTTCCCAAGCAGGATGCGGTGGCTGCGGCTGCTGCGCCCTTCCCCATGTGCGGCCACCCCCACGTTTCCAAAGCAGAGTGCTGCAGGCAGCTGCATCCCAGGCCGGCTGTGAGATGAAAGGCCTTGCTCACGGCTGCTGAGTGCTGGCCAGGCTCTGCTAGCTGGAATCAGCCAGCGGTGGGCCTCACGGGGCCCAACCAGAGGCAAAGGGGAAGGGGCCTAAAGACCACCGGGGCAGTGTCTGGCACCATGGACATCAGCAGCTCCCTTCCCTACAGACCGACTAGGCCGTGCTGGTGCTCCGGAGCCACCAGGAGCCTCAACCGTGGGACACGATGTACGGCTGGCGTCCCTGTTGTTTCCTGTCATGGGAAGCTGGGGACATGCTGCCAGACATGCTCCTTGGCCCCCAAGGGGCTCGCTGACCTGCTTTTCTCACAAGTGCCCCGGGGCCCATTTCCTTGGGTAACCTTACTTACTTTTTCAGGGGTTCAATCACTGTCTTTTGGATCTGGTTCACCTGTCAAAAGAAGAATCAAATGGCATCCAAACTGAGATATCTAGACTCTTCTTAAAAGAGGAGGCTCCAGGTTCCTCACAAGTCAGAATCCTGAGAGCTGGCCAAGGGGGATCGGGGTGGGATAGGCAATAGAGTGTCTGTATTCCACAGCCAGAGGGTGGAGAGGCCACCCAGGAAACCTGAAGGCCACATCGAGGGCTGGGTCTGGTCTCAGGCCAGGCTCTTCCCGTCAGTGCCACTGGCACAGGTTTGTGACGGTTTTGCTCGGTGTGGAGGGCTGGGTGGGCAGAGCTGCCCTACAGAGCATAGCTGCCCCTGAGCATCTCCTGGCTTCACCGTGGCCCCTCAGTGACATGCCTCACAGGAGACAAGGGCAACTGACCAGCCTGGTTTGGGAAGAGCTGGGCTTGGGGATACCAGGCCTTACGCGGCTGAAACCCCAGCATTGCTTAGGACCGATGGGCACTGCATCTAGGTAGACCCAAGGGGAAGGGCTGAGCACCGGCCACGGGCAACAAGACCTGGTCACCTTCTCCTGGTTGAAGGCGTCCATCCGCTTCATAGCTGTGTCTAGGGCTGTCACCATGTTCAGAAAGTCCTGGTCCTGCTCACACAGCGGGTTGGAGAGTAGGTCCAGGGATATCTTCACAGCAGATTTAGACATGGCTGTTACAGAGGTGAAAAGCTCTGTGAGTTCCCAGAGGGCCAGGTCTCCTTGGAGTTCCTTGACCTCCTATGGCCTAGGGGTCTGATCACCTCTGCCTATGCCATGGCTACCAGAACACTGAGGTTCCAGAAAGCCATGTGACATGTTCCTTGGTGTTTCCCACAACTCCTAGCCATGAAACACTGTATCACTGGATAGCAAAAACTCCTAGGCTGTTCCAGGACCAGGTGGGTGGAAAGCTGTATAACACATTTCTGCTCCAAAGACGCTAACTCAATAAACCCAGACTACAAGAACCTGTACTGTAGGTGGACCCTCTCCTGTACTCTACTGTACACCAGGACTGGGCAGAGGGTGAACACCCAAGGTGCTGTGGGCTGTCTGGAAGTCACAGATAGCACCGAGGAGAATGGAGACCCATTGCTAGCCTTGGGGCTCTTGATCTTGGGCGTGCTTTTAGCTTTCCATTATTCGCACGTGAAATTGTAGAGGGGTAGGTCGCAGGCCTAGAGAAGGACCAGGTTGGCTCAACACTGTCTACACCAGTTTCTGAACTTAGCTGGCTGAGTATCAGAACAAAAGACAAATTCTGCACGTGATCTTGGTCAAAAGGCCGAGGAGCGATAGAAGACAGAAGACAGAAGATAGAGTTTCGTTACTGTGGTTTTAAACTGCGCTGTGTGCTGTAGTCTAGGCTGGCCTCACTGCAGCCCAGATGGGCCGCCAATCTGCAGTGATCTCGGCCTCAGCCTCCTAAGTGGTGGGATTCCAGGCATGCACTACCACACTTGGCTGGAGTTTATTTTGTTTATTATCACTTTAGTGCCACAGCACTTGAGATGCTGTTGATTTTAAGGCACACGGGTACTGTCTGAACCACTAAGAAAGGAAAAAAGAGGATGCCAACCACCAAACCACCATATTAGCAAGTGCTAGAGAACTGTGGTCTCAAGGACATTAAACTGAAGGAGGGCCTTAGAATGGATGGGGGCAGGGAACCATCTCCCAGCTGATCACAAGTGGGACCTTCTTTGCCATCCCAGCAGTGAACAGATAGCACATGCCCAGTGGCAGGTCCCCAGGAGGGCCTTGACACTCTGCTGTGGGAGAGGAGAAGCCCAGGCCCTGCCAGAGGTCCCTGTCACACCCAGGTCCTTCCATAAGAGGCTGTGCCTGCTGGGCTGCCCAGACGGCCATGGAAGCCGGTAGGGTTAGTCACCAAACAAAGAGGAAAGGTAAACTTGCCAGAAATGTTGAAGCAATGGAGGAAGAAGAAACACTTATGAAGTGATCACAAGCAGCACAGTCAGAAGATAGTCAAGATCTGCACAGAACTGCAAACGTTTCTGAAAATGTCTTCTCTTGTTTTCTCCACAGTATTCGATGAAAAATAAAAATTTCAACAGTCACAGGATAGTGGAGGCTCTTTTCCACCTACCTTTCCTCTCCTTACACCCTACATTCCTTACACATTCTCGGACCTCTGCCTGCTGAAACCACACGAAGCCAATATGTTGTATTTGCTTAGGCCACTGCCCTGGGCACAGCTAGGTCTGAAATCTAATCCCATACACCCATTCTTGGTCCCTGCTCCAGGTAACAGCCTTTCTCCCCTGCAGACTGGGCGGTGGTGGGTCCATGGCCCATATGGTCTAGCCCTGAGATCGGCAGTCTTTGAATCTTAGGGAAAAAATCTTAAGACCTTCCCTTGTGTTTCTGAGGTCCCAATACAGCTTCCAGATGAAGCCCCCAAAAGTCCTCAGAAACCGATCATTCTGAAAACCCTGGAAGTCATACAACTTTTCTAAATGGAAGATCCTCTTTTCAGAGCATCGGCAAGTATTTTAGCGCCTATCCTGGAACTTGGGAGAATCTGAGGTCACAAAAGGCATCGTTCATTTTCCTCAGCTGTTGGGTCAGTGGCTCTAAGTACGTTCCTAGTCCCACTGTAGAGTCACAATTCATCGGAGACACATTTCCAGGCCTTGTTCTGGACTTGCAAATGCTAAGGTCAGGCCTGGCATCCTGTGCCATGACCAGCCCACGGTGACACTGCTGTCGCCCATGTGACAGCCCCTGAATGCAGACCGTGTCCACTTGCTTGTCATGCCTCACTAGGAAAACAAAACCCTGCCCTCTTTTCTACTCTGACATTCAGCTGTCTGGGAAGCAGGCACCAGCGACTCCCTTGCTGGAAGGCGGTGGGAGTGATGAACACCTAAGTCAGACCCAAACTCATCCAACAGACCAGCTCCCGACCCCGACCCCTGCCTCAGGACAGGCTGACTTGGAGACGGGGGATCCAGGGTGAGGTGGGGGTCATGTTCAGACCAGCCCATATCCTTGGGGTTGGCAGGGAAGCTTTGGGGCACAGACCAATAAGGCTGGCCTTCTGAGCATGTGGGGGGGGGCAGCTCTGCAAGGCCCTTGGCTGTCACAGCTGCTCCCCAGGAAGACATTGCTCTCTCTGACCTGAAGCTGTTCAAAGTGTCTACTGAAGGAATAAAGGTGGTGTAAGCAACCAGCTGAGGCCGAGTACCTGGCAAAATGGGGCAACCCCAAGTCTGTGGGCCTATCAAGAATTTGCTTTTCCACTGCATGACAAGTGGGACCACAGCAGGCTCCCAACCCAGTCTGAGCTGTCCACCACCCTATGACCTTTTAGGTGACATCTGGATACCACTGCGCTACCCGAATCTGGATCCTACTATTGGGGCAGCGAGTCAGAAACTGAGACAGGTCTGGTTACTGCAGTGAAGTACGTCCCACCCCCACCCCACCCCACCCCACCCCTCGCTGCTTCCTAGCTTAGAGCAATCAGAAAAATAAGCCTGACACAGGCAGGTGGGCTGGAGAGATGCTCAGTGGCCAAGAGCACTTGCTGCTCTTCCAGAGGACCTGAGTGCAGATCCCAGCACCCACAAAGGGGCTCACAACTGCCTGTAACTCCAGCTCCAGGCAATCTGATGCCCTCTTCTGGCTTCCATAGGTACCTGCAACTCATGTGCATACACACTCACATACATACCGCCCCCCCCATCACACACACTTAAAAAAATAAAAGAATAAGAGGTTTAAAAACAAAAAAAACTTCTGCCTCTAGACAAAATGATTTCCTCCTTTTAAAGACAGACATTTGGCCAGGCAGTAGTGACACATGCCTTTAATGCCAGTACTAGAGAGGCAGAGGCAGGCAGATTTCTGTCAGTTCGAGGCCAGCCTGGTCTACAGAATGAGTTCCAGGACAGCCAGGGCTACACATAAAAACACGTCTCAAAAAACAGAATGAAACAACAAAAAAAGACATTCCACACGCTCTGCCAGTCATAAGGATGTGCAGTGGGTGGACTTCCTGAGGCTGTTCAAGCACTGGGCGACTACCACAAGACACCACTATGTCACGTGGCTGGACGAACAGGTCGGGTCCTTAATTCTACTTCTGCCTTGGGTCAGTGAGCACAACCAGTGCGGAGGGCCAGCTCCACCTCAGGGTGTTTGCTGCCATGTTCTCCCAGGCACATCTGCACGGAGTGCTCTCCCATCCTTTCAGGTACAGGGGCACCTCCCTGCTCACCCCACCCAAAGCAGCACGGTTACTCCCCGCCCCTTCACGGTCCTTCCTTGCATCGGTCACTGCATGGTGCTATAATACACGGCGGCTGACTCCCTGCATGCCTTCTCTCCTAGGATGGAAGCTCACTGCTGAACCTCTGGCACTGAGATGTGTGCCTGGGACAAGTTGGTTCTCAACCGGGATTGGTCAAGTGGGAGGTGGTGGGTTGCCCTGGTCACACCTGTCTCTCTGAAGTCCCTATTATAAAGTGGCACGCAGCCATCCCTCTCCTGGGACTCTGGAGAAGCCGTCAAGGTCCACTTGGCAGGAGCCTTGCCGCGGCGACTTCGGCTGTTGCTGTTGCCGTTGCTCTCCACAGAAGCCGCATGCTGGTGACCATGCTGTTCTCAGAGCTTTCCCCCAAACACACAACTTCCCCATCACCACGAGCCACGGGGCTGACGACCAGACAGGGCACAGTGAGGTTAGGGGCAGTGTCGGGTTAGGGACTGTTAGGCCTGTGCTTGGTGAGGACAGTAAGGGGACTCAGTGACAGAGCCTCCGGATGCTCCCTGACGGAAGCTGCCTCAGTCCCTGGGCCCCTGGGCCTCGTTCTTCCTGAACAAGTCTCTTCAGGCAAGAGCCCTCCCTAGTTCTGACTGTCTGCTGGCCCCTGCTGGCCCCTCACCAGAGGCCTTTCTGTGCCCTCTGCAGTGACAGGATGGACATCCTGGAGTTTGTCTGGCTCTCCTTGCCGACGCTGCGGCTTAGCCCCTGCGGCTGCTGTTGCCATGGGAGAGCCACGCTGCCAGGAAGGTCACGCCGCCTTTTCTCTCCGTCCCTGACACCGAGGCGGGGAAGGGACTTGCCACAGCAGCTTCTGCTGGCTGTAATGACATCCTAACAGGACCCTGGAGCATCGGTTCCCATGCCCCACCAAGCAGGAGTGGCAGGACCCCGTGGGAAGCGGCGACCTCATCAGAGCGAATGACCTCTCTCCGGCCTCTTCGTAGGTTCAGTGTGTGGTGTTTTCTGAGCTAGCCCGGAGGGTCTGAGGAAACAGGGCATCCTCTGCTGCGCCTGCCTCGACAGACACGGGGCGGGGCCGCTTACCCAGGTCGGCATCCGTGCTTTTCTTCATGTCCTTCTGCAGGCGCTTGGTTTGCTCCTCCAGCCTGAAAGGCAAGGAGCGCGTGGGCACCTGGCCTCGCTGCACTAGGGCCTCACTTCTCTGCCTCAGGTGAGCCTGGCAGGGAGGGGAGCCACCCTCCGTGCGTGCGGTATCTGCCACAGATCACCATGCCACCCGAGGCTCTGCGTGAGGCCCATCGCCCAGAGCCCGTGCACTGACGACCTTCCCAGGGCCAGTCTCCTGCCAGAGCTGTCTTGGGTTCCCAGCTGTAAATGGACAAAGGGTGCAGCGGCTCCTTGGCTGAGCCTGACCTGGCCAGGAGGGGGCAGGGCAGGGAGACCTGACAAGAAGCGTGTGCCCCAGCAATCTCCCATCTCACCCTGCTGGGGTTTACACTCACTGCTGCAGTTTTCCATACTCCCGTTCAAAGTCTCTCTCCACCTGGAAGGAGAGAGATAGCTCAATCAGTGGGCAATGACAGCATGATGGAAAAACTCTCCCAGCTCACTGAAACTTGCTCCACGCCCTCCCCCGCAGCCTGCGGCAACAGCCCTGTCCAGTCCCTACACGCTCCAGCGGATCATTAGCAACAGTGTCCCTGTGTTCCCAAACTAATGAAGTGTTTGACTTAGGGAGAAGGCCTCTCCTCCCAGAGGGGCCAACCGGGCAAGCTGGCAAGTCTCAGCGGATTGTGCCTTGGCTCTGTCACCCCAGAGTGAGGTACTGCTAGTGCCCTTTCCTCATCCCAACTCTGATGGCAGTCAAGGTGACTGACAAGACAAGACCCCACCTAGGAGTCAGCGGGGCACCAAGGAAGAGGCGAGTCTGGAGCAGCAGGGTTCTGTCATGGGTTAGCTGTGAGGCCTGAGCTAGTGACTTCCCTTCTCAGCCATAGGTTTCTCATAGACTCTACTAATCTGACGTTGGTTCTCAGGTCCATCGAGAAAGATCTTGTGTGGGACATCAGGCGGGAACCTGTTTTAGAATGAAGGGGTCCTGCACCTGAGCCTTCAAGGTGTGCATTTCTGGGGGTGTCCAACCTGTGGCCCACATGCAAGGCTAGCCAAGAATGTAGCCTGGCACAAAATTGTAAGCTTATGAAGTTACGAATATTTTTGTAATTAAAAGAATTTAGCCAGGCAGTGGTAGCGCACGCCTTTCATCCCAGCACCAGGGAGGCAGAGGCAGGCAGATCTCTGTGAGTTCGAGGCTAGCCTGGTCTACAGAGCAAGTTCCAGGACAGCTAGGGCTGTTACACAGAGAAACCCTGTCTCAAACAAACAAACAGCCCCCCTCCCCAATTCATTATTATTGCGTTCATGATGTATATGTGAGCACAGGCATAGTGTATCCATGGAGGTCAGAGGACAACTTTTAGGAACTGGTTCTCTTTGCCTGTGGGTTCTGGTGCTAAGAGGTTGTCAAGCCTACAGAGCAAGCGCTTTACCTATGGAGCCACCGTGCTGGCCTGCACTTTATGTGGGGAGCAGTGACTCGATGGTGTGGTTTTTGAAAGTGAACTTTGTAGATGACAATGCCATGTCATGAGATCAAAGGGGTGACCTAGCCTCGTTATCTCCCCAGCATGTGGTACAGGAAGGCAGTGGAGAGGAGTGAACAGAGGCAGCTGAGAGATGGACTTGGAAATCAACAGTCTGGCCTCTTTGAGCCGCGTGCTCATTGCTCACTGGTCATTTGAGCACTTGACACTGCTCTAGCCTTGCCGTCTCACTTGCTCGGGGGAAGGTAATACATGGCTGGGTGCCCAGCCCATAGTGGTGATTACAGAACGCACATCTGTGTTCCTCTCTTGTTCACTGGGCATGGTGGGGGGGTGGGGGTGGCACAGCAGCCTGGAGATACAGACGGGGATGCACAGAGCAGCAGCCAAAAGGACTTGAGAAATGGCAGCCAGTAAGCCCCGATGTGGCTAAGTATGGAACCTCATGCTAGGCAGTACCACATAGCTGTGGCCTTCATAGCCCAGAGGATGTGGCTGCTGAGTGCCGTATTTTTCTTCATATTAGCATTTACTTCCAAAAGGATAACGGCTAGGCCCTTGCTCTTCTGGGGTGGTGGGGGCTGAGCCCCTGTGGGGCTGCCTTTGGCTCCCAGCCTTCTTCTCTTTTGCAATGCCTGAGCGTGCTGATGTGTGTGGGATGTCAGAGAGCACCTGGTCCGCCTGGCTGGGGACTGCTTGGACTTGTACAAAGGGGCCTTCAAGCTCCCAGCCAGGTGGGATGGTTCAGGGGGAGCAGGAGCTCACAGTCTGGGGACAGACGCTTGTCGGGGTGGCCACATGCCCTTTCTGCTTGATGCCACTCAAGGCCACCTCTCCTGATTCCAGGAGCCGTGGTGCAGCTCGTGGGTTCCTCATCTTGCTCCCCAGAAGACAGAACCACTTGGGGTAGGACCAGAATTCAAGGCCCTCAGATTATGGCCGACAGAATAAAGGGACACACTGGAGTTACATTCCGAGGTGCATATCTTCTAAGGGGAAGAGCCAAGTGGAAAAGATCTGAACGTTTTTGAATGCTTGGTACCTTTGCCAAAAGGCAACTGGAGGCCAGTCAACAATGCAAGTGTAAACACATGTGCATGGATTGTCAGGGGATCGGGCTGGGTCGGGCTGCTGAACGGTAGCCTAGGGAGAACCAAGCCCCAGATGATGCTCCCTACATTCTCCCGGGTCCAGGGCACAAGGGCAATGCCTAGGCTAGCCTGCCCAGCAAGAGCTCGGCATTTGCTAAGTGAGGGAACACGCTGAGCTCCTTCCAAACTCGAATTCCTGGGAAAGGGGAAAGGGAGGCCGCAGGCAGGGCTGGGGCTCTGGATGCCAAGGCCAAGGTGTGTCAGGTCAAAGCGAGGCAGAGAAAGCATTCTGAGAGCCACACGAGGATGTTACGGGTGGACAGCATCCTCCCTCAGTACGCTCCGGGGCTAACAGGGATTAGAGGCTGAAGTCTGGAATCTTCCCCCACTGGAGAGGCTCAGT